CAGTAATGGTGCCAATTCCTGCCAGCTGAGCGGGGGAGGACACTCGACAGACCCACCCATTCATTGCACTGCGCCACAGAACAGCCAGCAGATGGGAAGGGCTTTAATCACTCCTGCCCCGGACCCAACGCGGTGAGCTGGAGGTGAAAGGCCTGGGATGCTGTTAGCGTTTCTCTGAACCAACTAGTCTCCCCACGGGTCATTTAATGAGGCGAGAAGAGAGGGAGGAAAATATTCCTGTTGTCGATCCTGCTCCCTTCTCCGTGTAAGCCTGCCTGTTAGATAGCTTTCCCCGCCACCCTGGCGGAGACACGCCCTGCCGCACCCAGACGGCTGCACTCCCGTCTCGTTAATAAACCAGTCTCGGATTGTCGTTTCTTTAATCACAGGAGGCAGCTAAGACTGGAGACGGTTTCCTCACCAAGGTATTTTTACCCCACTGCATGCAAAAAACGCTCTCTGGGGCATGAGTCACATGGTATTTGTCTAGAACGTGCCTGGCGCGCTTTGGGCTCTGCAGGAATAAGAATGCATTGGAGGTTACCTTGGCACTAGACTGCAGACCCTGGTTTGTTACTGGAGGGTTGCTCACGTGAGCTGAGCTGTTTGAAAAGCTCTGGCGTGTTAATTTTTGAGCGTGGCTTTTGCAAACGGACGCAAGGGAACGAGAAGGCAGGCCAGGCTGTGACCCGCGTCTCTCGAAACCTTTGAACAGATGGAACGGTTTAGCCAAAGAGGGAGGGGCCGGGCCGGGCAATCAGCATCGTCACGGTACTTACAGCAGCTCTGGAGCACGTACAGGCCAGATCCCTCGCAGTTCAAGAACTCTCCGGTCTCTGAAGCAGAAAGGGCCGGTTACAGCCCCGGACAGCTTCCCCAGCAAACCCTGCTCCTCACACCAGGAGAGTCAGCACGTGGGGAAACAGCAGGGCGGGCAAATTCGGCCAAGGCAGAGCCTTTTACCAGTTCACCTGGGCCAGTCACACCAATCCACTTCAGCGTCCCAGAGAACTTGGGGACTGGACAGCGGGGGGGTTGGTATTTAAAGGGGCCAGACCCCCTATTTCACCCCCCCAGATAGCTGTGGGAGGAACTGAAGGCACGGAGACATCCAATTACTGAACTGCACCCACAAATCAAGCAGACAGCTACTGGTCCACATCTGCGCCCATCACACTGCACCTGCAGCCACTGGCGGGCGCAAAACAGGGAGCTGGGTTTTAAAAACTGGCGGCCATCACCTGGGGACGCACCCATCTTCCTTCACCAGACCCAGGAGCTGCTCCCTGTGGCTCGTCTCAGCCACACTTCCCAGGATCTGGGAGCCAGATCCCCTGGCTGCTGAGACTGTCGAGGGTCTGGTGAATCCAGAAAAATGGCAACAAACCAGTCCCGGCCCTGACGTTGAGTGGGAAGGAGGGGCCTTGTCCTTGAGTGGAGTTCTCTCACGGTGCATCTACCCTGCAGCCAGGAGTGCCAGTGGCAGCTCAGGGACCCTGACCAGGGCCTTCAGACAGCACCGGTCAATGCAGTCTACAAAGTCAGCCAACTGCGATGGCCGCTGAGTCCCATGCCCAACCCCGCCTGGCCTGGAGAAGACAACGACCCAGAGAACCGCGCCGACAGCCGCCCGGGAACCACGCTGACGCTTCCTGTCATTGTTACCTTTCTCGATATCCTTATAGAGTTGGTCTATGAAGGCGTCTAGCTGCTCTCGCTCGTGCGGGGGAAGCTCTAACGCATCGCAGGCATGGACCCACTGGCTCAGGGAACTAGCGGAAACCAGACAGAACACGGTTATGTTTCCAACTGTCTCTGGATCTGGCCGGGCGGGCGAGAGAGCCACCTGTACCCCAGTGCTAGGGAGAGCTGTGATCACACCCCGCGAGCCGGCGCGGGTGCTCATGGCACCAGCTCTCGTTCTTCAGCGCAGAACGCTCAGGAGGGAGGAGGGACTCTCTGCGGCTCCCAGGGCTGAAGTGTCCAATGGCCCCAAGAGGCAAAGTTCTGATGCAGGACCAGACCTGAACTTTGGGAGGCTTTGGACTGGGGAAGTCCTGTCATAGTTTACAGAAAAGCAGTAAAACGCCGCTTTTACAGAACCTCAGCAACACGTACAAAGTTTTTTCTCTGCTCTCGCTCTAGGTACTTAAGTGGCTCCCATCACTGGGTTGAGGGATGTGCATGGATGACTCCTTCAGACAGCACGGGGAATCCATGCAAGCGCTGGGGGAAGCCCAGAGACCCAGAGAGCTTTGGGACTCCCATGACTTCCATGCCGATTTCTCAACAGTTCCCCACACACAACCACAGCCCAATGGCGAATCCACTGGTTACCTTGTTCCTATGCCTTGGCCATTGGTCCCAACCAGGGCAAACAGCGATCGGAACCCTTCTGGAGTAAACCACTGCAGAAAGACCAAGAAGCAAGAGGATCAGTTTACCTGTCAGGACTGTACCATCTCAGCAGCTCCCATTTGCTCTAGCTCAGTCTTTCTCAACCTTTTTGATACCAGGGACCAGCCTGCTGCCTTCCTAAACAGCGTCAGGGAGATCTCAGGGATCGGCACCGGCCCACAGGCCAGTCGTTGAGAAACACTGCTCTAGCTCGCAGCCTTACTTATCGGACCCACTGCAGAATCCCGTGATGGGCCGTGGGGCTGGGGCTGGAGCTGCCATAGAACGGGCACTAATGCTATTACAACCAGCAGTGAACCGACCCTCAGCTCTGCCCTGACAGTTTTAGCATCCTGTAATAACAAATCCTGGACCCAGGGAGGGGGTCCCTAGAAATGTCTCGTTAGAGAGAACTGGATGGAGGACGTGAGGCACAGAGCTTAATGGCCTGATTTTCATCAGCGGTTAGCATCCACTATCTTCAGTGGGAGATCAGCACCTTTGACAATCTGACAGCCAAGTAAGGGGGCTCCATCCTCTAGGAGAATCCAGGGTCATCAGGGCTTCCCTCAGACTCAGCCTAGGTTCTCCCTCCCTCGGCTTCCCCCCATTACTTCTCGTGGTGCCGCTGTCCTATCCCAAACAATTCCTCCCCCTAGTTGCCATTTACAATCTTCTGAGATGGTTCTGGCCCCACCCAGTTCTTAGGGACCCCTCACAACTCCCCGTCAGCCTCGTCTCTCCTTTCTGCTGCTCAA